AGCCATTGGTTAAATGCATAACCACTGCACAAGTCGTCCGAAACCAGGAATGAAGATGAGGCATTCGAGAAATTTGATCATTTTCATCAGGAACATTATTGGCCCCTGCCTTTACCAGATGCTCAGTCATATAACGTTTAAAATACGACAGCAGTTTCATCTTTTTATCCAGTGACTTGCAGTAATCTGTCGTAGTCATGTAAGATTCTTTACCCTCCTTATCAATAAAATGCACGTTCAGTTGATTAGGCAACAAAATGAGTTTTGTGGTGTCATTGAACATAACTCCGATGCCCTCATCACACAGCTGATAGCCAAAACCATATTTATCGCTATAATCGACCCACTTTGATATCCAAAATAACGGCTGGGCAGCAGGATCGGTATTCTCATCGCCAAGATTTCCTTGCAGTAAACGCGGCTTTTAAAATGAAGAGGAAGCATATTGATATTTATATGTTGGATATTTAACCTCATACTGCATACCTTATCATTAATAAGCTTCGTCAGCTGCTGATGCAAACTCTCAATGTCGCTACGATAGTCTTCATTATGACGACAAACCTGAGCCGACGCTGTAATAGCGTCGTGTAAATTATTCTTTAAGAACGTCGACTCTAAACGAGTATCATCTCGCAGACCATTGTATTCCGCCAACGGCTTACGCTGAGTAGGATCCTCTATAGTATCGTTAATGCCGATACGTGGAGCCATTGTTAAGCAAGAGCTGGGCAAAAACACTGGCACTTGTGTAGCCTTAAGAAACTCAAAATTCAAGAGCTGTCCTATTGTAGGACGACTTTCTGGATTAGGTTGCAGCATTGCAATGACCATATCCGCAGCCGGTTTTCTTAAGTAGCTCGGCACGCGGTACTCGCATTTTTTTATTTTTGAGTAAGTGTCTTTTAATGTTTTTGTTTCGAAAGGCGGCTGACCAACCAACAACGTATACATAACGCATCCAATGGACCAGATGTCCACTTCAAACGAATGACCTTTCTTTGTCAGGATCTCTGGTGCAATATAGTTAGGAGTGCCGCAAAGGGTTTTCTTGCGTTCACCCTCGTACTCAATACGAAAAAAAAAACCAAAGTCTCCAATCTTCACATGCAACATGTCATTTAGAAATAGAAAAAAAAAATTTAGATCACGATGAATAATGCGATTGTCGTGAAGATACTTGACAAAAAAAAAAATCTGGTATATGTAATAGCGGGTTTCAAACTCTGTAATACTCTTACGGCGCTTATGCAACTCCATCATTGACTACAAAGTAATATTTTGAAAAAAAATAAAAAAAAAAATTAATACATGCGCACCTTTATCAATTCAGAATACTTACGCGTTTCTTGCACAACTCCAGCACAATATAGATGTTCTGAACATCTTCAAAATAGCTGTGAAATTTTACAATATTTGGATGGTTTAGACTGCGGTGAATAGTTATTTCCTGAGCCGTCTTCTCCTTCTGGTTGTGCTTTATCATAAGCTTCTTGGACACAATCTTGCCAGCAAACACATCGTCGGTCTCCACATCAATTATTTCATAACATTTAGCAAATCCTCCCTGAAAATTGTATTTTAAAATTATCAGAAATATTTCAAATACATATATTAGCTGAATATATGAACATATGTACATACATACATACATTCATTTATTGTGTAGTCCGCGCCAAAACAGCCAACTGGTTGTTTGCAGTGTTTGACAACACTAATTTCTGTTCGTACCTATATACATATGTGTGTGAATACACAATCTGCACACATACATGCATGCATACATAACTGCATATCGCGAAAACAACAGGAACAAAATGTCCAGGGCAAACGATGCAATCGCCTCATGTTTTCCCTCTATTTTCATACAAAATGTTTGCGAGACAAACTTAGCACTTACCTTACCGAAAAAGCGCATACGCTTATAGGTCTTACGGTGATTAGAGTCAAAAAGACGATCAGGTATATCCGTGCTCTTGTCCTCGGGCTTTGCGGCCATTTTTTCAGTTTTGTCTTTTTGGACTGACTCGTTTATTTTATTTTTCTATATCTGCTCCGCCTGCTTGCTTCTTTAGTTTTCTCAGATTTAAATATTTTTGTGCACGGCACGCAAATATTTACCCCGAAGTATATTAAAAAATATGATAAAAAATTCACACTAACAATTATCTAAAACGAGATACCCAGGCCGACACGAATTACAGGCACAAAGTGTAGAACGCGCCGAAACAGTTTATTCTATTTAAATGCCAGTTTGAGTAGTTCGTCGGCGTCACTAAGTCTCAAACGATAACGTGATTTGAGCAGCACTGCATGACCAGTGCTGGAAAATATTCACATAGAGCAAGCGTAAACGTTAAAATTTAAATTATATGTATAGCCAGCATAAAATGATGGTTTTTAGACTTTATTCAAATCTAAATTTGTGGGAGTTGCATAAAAGCATCAATAGATCTACTTTAATATAGCTAATTATGTAATTTTTTAACTTTTATACTTTAACAATTGAGCGAAAAATACTATGTATTGAAATATCTGGCCTCTCACTGCAGAAACCAATTTATAGATCTGGCAGCACCATCCGAGGTTACAAATTGCAACTAACGAAGAGGGATTTTCGATAAAAATAGCTTATATTTATCGACATTATTCATTTAATGATAGTTGAATAACAAAATTTGAGCCCTAATTGCAACGATAAATTAGGTTGATTTCCCGTGTCGAGAATCCATTAATTACTAGGATCTTTAAATTGCTTCAGTGGATTTAACTTTACTGTCCTCCGTATGAAAAGCCATTCTGGCTGGAGAATAAATAGGGCCTTAACCGAATATATTGAAAATTAGCAAGCTGTAGTTCAATAAGTTTATTGGATATTATGATCTCCAATAAGCTCCTGCTTGCTTATCCACATCGTCAAAAAGCGAGGAGACCCTTAAGTTTTTTAACTACGGATATAAGTTTGACTGTGCCATGCTTGAATCGTATAATACTTTTGTTTTTTTTATATTGGCATTCGTTCAATTTTAGGTTATTGCGACGCTTTTACGATTTTTTTTAAGTTAGCTTACTGTTCTCTATTACCAGTTTCAATGATGCCTTAAAATTTTTTTTTTATGTAGATTGATTTTTAAATGTTGTTTACAATTAAATTATTACATTTTTTTTATATATATATATATCAATAGTGTTGTTTTATAGTTGGTTTTTCTTCTTTTTTTGAAAGTTTTACGCAGTCTCAAGTGCCTTGTGTCTCTTTCTTGGTGTACGTATGTTTGTGTCAGAGTTAGCGTGTGCAATGGAGGAGGGCTTTGCGTTTTGCATATCGTCGTGTGTGTATCGCCGATCGTCTCATGATAGACACTACAGAATTTTTAAAGTTGAACTAAAATTATCCGATCCAGGCACTCTCAGCTGGATCCCGAACTCCCAACGACTAGCCCCCGTTGCAAACGTAGCCATTCCACAAATTCATCCAGCATGACGGGCCCTAAAATTGGAAATGATAACAAAACATGTATGTTTATCGAGCATATTAACTGTTACGTACATGCTCCATCAATATCATAGTTTGACAAATCAATACAGATTGTGCGCGAAAACTCGAGTATATTACACCATTGATCCTTATTAATAACCTTGTACTTGGATTGCTCTAGGAATTGTGCAAATTGTGGATACAGTGTCCAATGCTTGCCCAGAAGTAATTGTAGCATCGCTTTAGCGGTTAGAATATCCATGCTTCGCTGATCTGAGTCCTGCATAAGAAATTGGTGTGTATATTTATGCTTGCAAGATTATTATTAACAAATTATTATTGATTTACCTTGGCAAAATCATAGGCGTATCGATATATACTCTTGAAGGAGTTGGGATCGTTGAGTATGCTGCGCAGATAGTCCAGTTTCACAACCATTTTTGCTGTCGAATCACATTCGAGATCCGTGAGACCTTTTAACCACTCTTGCTGACTGAAGAATCCCATCTGTGTGGCACCCATTTTGTAGGCGAGCACAAGCATCACAATATTCTCGGGCTCAACCCCAATATCTTCACAGAATTTCTCCATGCCATCTGGTCCTATAAATACGAGTGCTTATGTTGTTTTCCTTTTAAGATCACCAACTTTTGTTTTACTCACCCAGTGTATCAGGCTCATCGGGCGTGGTGTATTCGTGGAACCAGGCGAGGCAGCGTTTCTGGCTAAAGCCGTCTTCTGCTCTGATATGGCGTCTGGTTAAAAACAATGTTATCAATATAATTATCTATGTTATTTGTATTATTAAATGAACTGTTAATAGTATACTTAGCCATAAAACATTTAAGCTCATATATTTAAGCTATTTTATTTATTTTTAACTATAATTTTCTTGAGCAATCGCTCCGCTGTTGACGTATTATTCAATGTTTTAATTTTCTTAGTGTTGCCAACTAAAAATAGCAATAGTAAACTTAATGGTGATGCCAATGCAAACAAACAGAGGCCGAAACAAAGTGAGCATTCGAAGATATTTACATATAGTACATACATACAGTGACGAACTAAATTATTGGCACAGCAAGCTTTTTAACTTTAAAGCAAATTTGTAATTGTTTTTTAACATTTTTTAGGGAAACAAAAAATTTACTAAATAGAATTGGGCATTTATTAAATTATACAGTAAAAATATTGCGAAAAACTTCAACGTACCANGGTAACACATGGGCGGTAGCCATATTTTGACGATATGGGCAGAATGCTTGGGGTCATTGTCATGTTGAAATGTGAACGAGCTTGGTAGTAGTAGCTGTTCAGAATTTCATGCAATGATATGCAACCCCAGACCATCACCCCACAACCACCATGCTTAACGCTTGGCGTAATATTGTTTTTGTGAAACGAATTATTCGGCATTCTCTAGCAGTTTAACGCCCATCCGATCGAAATATGTATATTGAATTTCCACTCATCACAGAAGAAGACTTGACCTTCAATAATCAGATGGCTTGCTAAAATTTTCCTTAGCGTAGTCCAAACGCTTCTTTTTATAAGCACCTTTGATGCATGGTTTTCGTCTAGCCACACACACTTTGTATTTGACCTTGTGCAGTACTCTTCGTATCGTAATCGGGTGCATATCCTTCCCATTTCTTTTGTAACTTCAGCAGAAATCTGTGTAGATGTTATTTTGGGATTCACTTGCACCTTTCGAACGATTTTCCTGCATTCATGGCTGTTCAACAACTTAAGGCGACCTGTATGTTTATGAACTTAGCAGATTGCGGGCATCCTTGGAGCGCTGCACGTAGCTTCGAATAGAAAATCGATTTATTTCCATTATCACTCTAGTTTATGCATAAAATTTGCCTTGATCATGCAAATGTAGGATAATTTTTCTCTGAGCTATCGATGTCTCTTTTAGGTTAGGTGCCATTATTAAGAAAAGTAAAAAATATGCTCAATTCTTACAAAATTTTCTATATTAAAATTCAAATCAAACATAACATATAGTAAAATTGCCCAACAACAAATTTTGCCCAATCGATTTAATTTAATTTAGTTCGTCACTGTATATATAAAATGAAGGCCATTATTATGTAAATGCTAAGTTTAAGAAGTTCTCATAGGTGCATTTATCAATGTATTGATCTACTTTTTGTTTGTATATAAGCAGAAAACAATTAATAATCGCAACAAACAAGAATTATCACAAAAATATTAATAGTTTTTATATAATTAAAAAATTCGGAGAAATTTTTAATCAAAACAGATAAACAACAAATCTCATCAATAAGTGCTTTTGAAGATATTCAAATCTGCGAAAAATACAGATTTCCACTCGAAAAGGGTTAGTATTTTTTTTCATTTTTTCGACTTTTTTCTGCTTATATACAAGCAAAAAGTAGATCAATACATTGATAAATGTACTTAAAACTTCTTAAACTTTGCATTTGCAAGTGGAGCTATTTTATTTTTCGCAGCTGTATATATTTCTGCATACTCAGAATATTTTTAAAGTATTTTTTTTTTAAATATTTACCACTTTTTGATCGTAGTTTTTGTTAAATTATGGGCAAACCCGCATGAAATAAGTGATCTTATCAAAATTCAAGTGGTTACGAAGAATAATGTAGATAATTCTTTGGAATACCTCATCAGCTTATATAAAGAACCTCTATAAACATAATAATTCCAAATTAAAAAAAAAAAATAATTGCAAAGAAAAACAAAAACGGTATTATATAAAATACATATGTATAAGTCTAGGAGGTATAATAAAATAACTAGTTTTCGATAATTTTTTAATCGATAAGAAAATATTGGCTGTAGTTATCGATATGCGCCTGATATACACAGACCAAGGAAAAAAATTTCAAGTCTCCAGCTCTTATATCTTCTGAGATCAATGCGTTCATACATATGGACGGACGGATGATCAAGAATATATTGTCTTTGTGGAGTTTGCCACGCCTCCTTCTGCCTGTTACATATTTTTAAGAAAACCATTATACCCTAATTTCCTATTTTCAATGTATTCAGGGTATAAGAAAAATAGCACATGCGCATCTTGATAAAACTTCGAAATCATGAGAGCAACATCGACTGCGTGTATTAGCCAAAATACTTAAAATACGCTTTTTACAAATTTGATGCAAAGGGGGTGAATTTAGTGATGGCGGCTGGATTTGAACAACCAAAACACACGAATTTAAATTTAAACTTTGGAATCTGTATCTCTGAAGGCGTAGAAGATATGATTTAATAACCAACACGATCTGCCACACCTGCTTCTGAGTCGATATAACCATGTCTGGCTGTTCTTGGAAGATATAATAGAGAGACTTTTTCTTTCTCATAACATAGTCCACACTATAGCGCAACCCAAGCGCAGTCGCTGCTATCTGCGCAGTTGGCAGAGCGCATGATTTTGTATGTGTGCATAAAAAAAGTACAGAATTGTTGGAGTATCAGTCCTATGCAGGGTTCGGGGTATCTCCCAGTCGAGCACTCCCTACTAGAGCACTCTTACTTGTTATTAACTGAGTTCCGGCGGCTGCGCGCTGGATTGTGAATTGAGAGCGAGAATTGAATGAAATGCATGTCAATATATAGCAGCTGAGAATTCGTGAAATAGGCGCGGAGCCGAATGCGGCTAAATACGCATTCAAGCCGTAGTTGTGCGGACGACTGCAAGCGAGACACTTCGTTTCTATCGAATTAAGGAATCGTACGTAATAATACCTATAAAAGGTATTTGTTAATAAATAGAAAAATGCTACAATTTCGCAAAAATAACCGTGCTTTAAAGTGTGTCAATGGATATGTATTCAACATTATATGTTGCATACTATTCGCGTTACTTGGTGAGTTGTTAAAACACCCCTTTGCTCAAGGGAATGCATTGGGGTGGGGAAAAATCAATAGAACGGAGGACACATCACACTGCTGACACAATGACTTAGAAGCACAAAAATTGCAAGCTAGAGTTAAACTCATATTTTTTCACAGCGAACAGCGCTCAAGGCCTTCAGCTCAGCGCCTTTACAACGAAAACGCCGAGAGTTTCTAAATATTCTACTAAATCGCCATCGGTAAGGGATGAGCATCCTCACTCATTTCAGGTTGTTTTCAAGTGTCAAATACCTTTGCAGGCCTCTTCGATGAATCATGATGCCACTACTTCGATTTATCGCTTAAATGCTACTAATGGCATCACCTGCATTCTTATGCAAGTAGATGGTTTAATAAGTATCCGATATCGGAATAAGTTGAACGAGGATGTGGAGGCCGACCTATATATGCCGGATAATCCAGTCTTGAGCGGCGAGTGTGACAATACGAATTTGGAAATATTGACCATGGACTTCAAGGGCTTTTCGCTTTCCATGACTTTCAAAAAGGTAAGGGGCTAAGCGTTTGCTATTGCGACCAAAATATCAGAGGTTAACTAAAATTATTTTTCTACTATACACACACATGTATAGTCGTCAGGAGGCGAGGGGTGGTACATCAACGTTTTTGAGCTAACATACTCCTCATCGAATCCATTATTCGAACATCCTGACCGTCCCAATTTGAATGTGAAATTGACCTCTCCAGCACAAACGCCCATGTATTTTCCAACGCCCGTGGGCAAGTCGTACCTTTGTGACAAGGAACAAACTGTGATTTTGTATGCCCCTCACGATTCCGGCGATCAGTCTGGTCACATTGCGCGTCTTTACTTGCGCGACATGCATATGCAAAGCTTTATGTTCAAGGAGAGCGGCAAGTGGGGACCATCCTTCCACTGTAGTGCCACTGGATCCTATCGCGACGAAACGGCACCCTTAGCCGTAGGTACAGCACTGGCCATTGCGGTTCTATTGACTATTTCGGGCTACGGTGGTTGGCGGTGAGTAATCCAAAAATTGACTAAGCTTAATGCAATACGAAAAGTATCAAATAGTTAAGTATTTATAGATAAAATAGCCCTTACTATAAATTTACAAAGTTTAAATTCCGACTTTGTAATAGTTATACTAATTCAATTTTTTCAGGTATTTCAAAGTCAAGAAGGTTCAGTACGGGTCGATGGAGTAAACCAAGCCTCAATGTACTACAATTAACTTGTTTAATTCTTTTTGAATCATACCTTTCTAATGTAATTTGTTGTAGCCAGTATTGAAGTATCCAACTATATTATCATGTTCTTAAATGTAATCGAAATTGTGAGTCATCGGAACCACAAACATAATTGTTACAAAATTATATATATATAAATAAATGCAAATGTCTTCCATATAGCTAATATTATGTGAAATGTTAAATATTATATATATTATAATTATAATTACGCTCATGTGCATTTTTTAAATATATGCGAGTAAAACCTATTGCAAACCTATTGATAACTTTCAAATATGTAAAAGCCAAACTCTGTTTATTACACATGCAAAACTTAAAGAAGGCAACTGAAACAGATAGACCTCCTATATATATACCACATCAAAATATAGAAATTTGTGCCAATCTATACTATATGTTTGCACATTATATGTTTGCACATTAAAATGAATGAATAATTGCACCACTAAAATAAAGATATATGATCTTTAGATATAAACATTTAACTTTCTTTTTAATACTCTTAACATTAGTAATTCATAAACACACACTTATATTAATTTATATGTATAGGATAATTAAAATAAATTAAATAAATAAATTCATTTATTAATTAACTTAAATAAATAAACATAAATAGTTTTGATTATATGAAGGTTGTTAAAATGCTTAACAATTCCATAATTAAATTCGATTCTTTTCATCAGATAAGTGAATTCATAATATATAAAATGAAGAGGGACCTGATACCCGTCATCTTAACGAAGATTTATTTATAAATATATATGGTAAAAACAATAAAGACCCAGTGTGTATCTAAGAATTTCAGTATATCTCCCAATCACATTAAAACTGATTTATACGCAATCCGCTTAATTTTCAGTTATCAGATAGTTTTGTTGATCTTACATATATCGTTTATGTTAGTAACAATGGACTTATAGTTTTGTTATCTAATACGACTTCTTCTTATATGGTTATATGCATAATAAAACACTATCTTAAAACAATTCTATTTTATACCCCATTTGGAATTTGCTCTAAAAAATACCAGGGAAGGTAAGAAATGTGGTATAAATACTCGATTTATCAGACATGAAAAGTGAAGATTCTAAATAACAGTTTGCATTAAGAGATTAGTTTAAATTTTGAAAATAATATTGGAAACCCTTCCTTATTAGTTATTAGGCTTAAAATTAAACCTTTATGAATTTGAAAACAAACTATATTTCTGTCTAGAGGTATCACCAGTTAGGAAATTTAATCTTCCAATAACTTCTAGGCATAACAAATCGTTGGTCAAACTACATTTTTCAGCTTAAGCAGTCCTATCATTGAATCATTCCGTCAGTTAAAGCTTTTTTATAATTAATTCTAAATAAATTGTGACGACACTCACCTGCTGGTTTGTTGTGTCGCTATAGTTGTGTAGCTGGTGCGTGCTCTTTTTGATTGGCCATCCATATTGTCACCGATTTCTGGAGCTCTACGTTTACCTCGTGGCATGACTTGTGTGATCAAAGTACCAAAAATTTACCTGTTTTACCAAAGTAAAAACGGCAAAATTTCGATTTGACTTATATATCTATATATAGTTACTACGCGAATTTCTTGCTGTGAATCAAGAATAATTAAACAAAGTTAAAATACAGCAATATTTAATATGTAAGAATGCATACTTACCACTGTCCCTCAGCGCAAGACAATTATTGTAACATTATATTACGGCAACATTGACATACATATGTAGCTAAAATATATAAACTAAAATTAGGAAACAGCAATGATTTGTATATTTTAAAATTTCGTATGTTTAATTTTTCAGAGTCAACTATATCCGGTAAATTTTTATTTATGCCCGCTATACCTAATCAGCAATAAAGGTGTGTCCTGAATAAAAACTTAGCACATATCCGAGTCCCGGGAAAAAAAATTAAGTCTATGGAGAAATTTGCACGGAGTGTATAGGACACAAAATAATTATATATATATATATAAGTAAATAATATGGTTGCATGCTTGAGTTAATTCATGCAATGCAATACATCTAATGTTTATGTTGGTTTATATATCGTCTGCACTAAAAATAATTGCATGTAAAAAACGTTTTCAGCATATCTTGTTCGTATTAAAAACACCGGCAGCACATTGGATGAGAACTTGGTATGAACTTGCTATCGGTATCGTGGTTGTTTTCGCCATCTCAACCACACACTGAAGCAGCTGATACGCCAGTAGCAGACGGCTCCCTGCGCGTGCTTCTCTTTTTACGTCGTCAAATGCAACCAGCTCGACTCTGACGATTTAAACTGTGTTTTTCATTGTTTTTTTATTGTACGTACAATATTTAGCACTCCGTTTAAGATAACTTTACCAAAAATTTAATATTTACCATCTATATGTTAATACAATACGAATTTACAGGACAGGTCTTGGCATCAATGATATCGATATTTTGATACCGATGCGGCGATGTTTTCGGTGTTTTTTGTAGGTATTTCCGCATATCATCGAATCGTAATTTTTATGGCAGCCCTAAAGTATTTGCTGTTGTCGATATATGAAATTATTTTTATTTGAAGTCTAAAAGTGCAATTAAATAATATTTGGATTGAATAATCCGTACATTTTCTCGAATACTTATTTTTATTATTTATTTTTTTAGTCTAACTTATTTAAAAATAACAGTAGTTTTTAAATTCAACAATCGGAAGAATATATGGAAAATTGAAAATTTAAACAGATATGTGTTAGCTATTATTATTTAAAAAACAGTATAGTATAGTACATCATAAAATAATGCAAAAGAACAAAATATACCGCAGTGATTAGGAAAGATGAAGAGACGAAAAACAAAAAATAGTGAATGAGACAAGTGAGAACAATTAGCAGTCAGAAAGGTAAACTTTTGAATTTTTACCATAAACAGGCAAGACTGTCCTTCAGTCGTTAAACAACATCCAAAAACTAGTGTTTACAAAGTCCAACGCTAGAAAACTGTTCTTAAACAAATATAGACTTATAGCTCCTAGTTATGTCGGAACGCTAAAAATAAGAACCTCAACGTTATCCAGAGAGCTGAGTGGATTATATTAAAAAAATCAACGGGGCATCATGGTACGCTCGAGAGTTTTGAACATTCCACAAGCGATAAGGGGCGGGCATTAGCAATACAGTTACAACATTAACGGTTTGTTATGATGTATTATTAAGATTTCAAATACAATTTTTGTTTTCTTAATGTAAGACAAAACATAATAGTATGAGGCATTGCGCTCTATCAATATTCCAAATTTCAAGTCTTTTGCAGTTTATTATACATAGTATCTCTGAGATGCCAAATAAATTATTTATTAGTGTGCGTATCGGGCTCGCACGTGGTCTTTTATATAACAACTATTAAAATGAAATCAAAAGTATTTATTATTTATGAAATTATCGTTGTACGTTTTAATTTCATTGACAGGCTTTAAGTAACACAGTCAAACTTAATATTTAAACACATTTACAACATTAATAAGCGGTCTATCAAGTTAACATATCGCATTACAATATTTCTCTATCGTGGATATTTGATCGCAATCTCTTACACGGTTGCAATATATGATGTATACAATCACTGACCAGTAGAGCTAGAGAACCATCGATAGAGACGGTACTCGATGGTTTTCCCAACGATGGTTCAAACCATCGATACTATCGATAGTTCCATCGAAAATTTTTGCTATATTAAATTCAAATATATTGCAAATTAAATACATATTTACATACACTATGAATGGTAAGGTTCAACAAAACAGGTTTATTCAGTCCAGTTTTCTTAAAAATATACAACAGAGTCTTTTTCACTTGCTTAAGAGAAATTTAAAAAAAAACTTAGAGATCAAATCATTTTCATTAAATAATAATTAATTAATTAAATAATAATCGCTGCGAGGAATAAATTACTTTAAGACGGTTATACTTTTGGTTTTCTCAATATTTTGTTCAAATGGACTTGTCTTAAGTGCTTCATCAAATTGGATATGTTGCCATTTGGCAAACACTTTGTTATTTAAGTGGTAAAAATAGGAGCAAACGGCGTTAGGTGGACTCGAAGTTGTTGAAGGCGAAAGGGAAACAACATTTTTTTCTAAGAAATTACAGAATACATGAAAATCAGACAACAAATAATTTTGCATAAAACAACTTACTCGACGTAGCGACAAATTTGTCCATATTAAATGAGGAACTGTCAGTATAGAGGAAATACAATGGAGGACAAAAGTATTTTGACAACGCATTGCAAAAACTTTAACCGCTTATTTCTGCGTGCTGAGAGAGGTAACGGTACCCATTATATTTTTTATAGAGAGCAAACATACTAGGCCTACTTTAAGTGACCAAAATATTACATTGATGACATGACTCATTATTTTTCTATAATTATTTGCATGGCGGATTATCATTATTTAGGTGGACAAAAGTATTTTGACATTCCCTTTCAAATTCATTTTCGGTAATTTGCTTGGATTCAAAAATACATATTTTTNTTTCCACGGAAATACCTGCATAATTCTTCGTTCGCGACTAATTTTTTAATGATTTCACTTAATCACGTTGTTTGCCCATAAGTTACCGAAAACTATGATCAAATAATGGCTATTATTAAAGAGGACACCAAAAATAACTTAAAAAGAAAAATATGTATTTTTGAATACAAGCAAATTACCGAAAATGAATTTGAAAGGAAATGTCAAAATACTTTTGTCCACCCATAATGATAATCCGCCATGCAAATAATTATAGAAAAATAATGAGTTATCTCATCAATGCAATATTTTGGTCACTTAAAGTAGGCCTAGTATGTTTGCTCTCTCTAAAAAATATAATGGGTACCGTTACCTCTCTCAGCACGCAGAAATAAGCGGTTAAAGTTTTTGTAATGCGTTGTCAAAATACTTTTGTCCTCCATTGTAGATTGATTCTGTTCGCTACAATGTTGAATTGCAATAGTTATTTTGTAAATCTAAAAACAAATAAAATAAGAATACGAGATTTCTGACTTACGCGTATTAATGCTCCACTCAGATTAAATTGTCGATATATTGACGATCGAGAAATTTCCATCGATGTATCGAAAAACTAAAGTTCCATCGATTATATCGATAGTTCCATTGGTGGCTCTCCAGCTTTACTGACCAGAGATACAAAATTACAATATATATGTAATCGATAGTTGAAACAATTTAATGAATTATCTTTCCGCTAATGGAAATTAAATTCTCATGCTGAACTGTATAAATATTTATGTATGTAAATCTAGAAAGACCTCAACTGTGTGTACAAAAAATATTCCAAAATAATCTATAATTTTGGCACTACAAGCGCAAAATTTCGATGTAAATGGAAATACAATCCATGCACAATTTTACACCTTTGTTAAAGTATTACTCCTAGTATTTCTCAATCGTGATTACCTTAAATGCTAAGCGTAACGTATTTAGTAATAACGTTAAAAGTCGACTAATATCAAATCCAATATATTGTTAAGTGTTAAATTCTCTTTTAGAGTATATAAGAGGCACAAATGACATTGATCGAAGATAGGCGTATGTTAATCATTAAGAAAATGCTCCAAGGCATCTGACGTTGCGAAGTCCTTCTCCTCAAGAACAACGTCTTCTAAACACAATTTCGTTGCTTTCGTTTCCATTTCTAAAAAGGAAATAAAAAATTAACATATGTACACGTTTTTCGTTTTCAAAAAATTGAACTAAAACATATATATACTTGGAAGCTGTCCGCTTTGTTTGTACTCTTCTAGATCCCCACAAAATGCATCATGGAAAACAGCTTGGCGTTCCTTTTGAAGCCGTCTCAAATGTTGTTCATGTGTTTGAATACTTTGCTGATGCTGATCAGCAATCTTCTGTCTATACTGCTCCAGCTCAATCAGTTTCTTTTGCTTGTGTTTGGATAGCTGAAACTGCTGTGCAAGTACGAATTCCTGTAGCTCGCATTCCTCGCATAGATTCTCCAACTTGTCAAGTTCTTGTTCCAGCTCCAGGCCCAATTTCTCCAAAGATCCAATTACTTCTGTACACTCCTCTAATTTGACCACTAATGCAGGTAGAGCCGAGAGACAACTATTTAGTTCATTTATCGTTGCACGTTTCTCGTTAGCACTCCACAACACGGCCGTAATTTGAAAAGCCAAAGTTTCCGCATTTTCAGCATTCCGCTCGTTGGCTGCGTGGATTTTCTGCCAGCTGTCCTCATATTTTGATAGTAAATTGCAACCCGCGGCCATGTTAAGTTTTGTGGGTACGTCTGATAAATATACGCTGCTACCATTGGAGAAATGGCTTCCGTTCAAGCTCAACTGCGACGAATCAAGGCCAGTTGCTTTTAGAGCTGTCGCCTCACTTGTCCGACTGCTGGTGCTGCCCCCGACACGTTGGCGATACTGCTCCTGTAGACTCTCTGAAATAACTATGCCCTCCTGGATTGCATTGCTTATTTTCTTTTTTAAGCTACCCAGCATTATATAAGCCACGTCTTAGTATTTTTTAAAGAAATTCAGCTGTTAATCAGCGCTGTTAGTATACAACTGCGCCGTGGTGTTTTAACACTAAATCAGCTGGTCGAAAAGTGACAAGAGAGAGAAAGCATTCATTTGACAGATCGCTCGTGAGAGCGAAGGCAGATATGTACAATCTGTTCTCTATCCCCCACTTTTTTATTTGTTTTGATCACAACTGCCTTCTTATTTTTTTGTGAAAAGTATGTAACAGGCAAATGGAATCATCGCTGACCTCATAAGGTATATACATACATACATACATCTTGATTAAGGCGACGAGCTGAGTCGATATATGTATGTACATAGCTCTGTCCGTCGTCAGAATGCCTAGATCTCAGAAGTTATAAGAGCTAGAGAGCTGAAATCCAAACCATACGCAATACAAGTGTATCATACATACATATGTATTTTTCAAAAACTCATCAGATAACTTTTTATCGAGAATAATCGAAAAATTGATTTTGTTTAGACACTTCTAGACCTGGAGACTTCAGATTTACGCAGTCGCTTACTGCCCAGTCAGCAGAATGCGCCATTATATGTACGTGCGTGTGGATGCGTCCATATGCATGTGTGCATAAAAGAAGTACAGAATGAGTAGAATATCAGCTTAAAGGGTTCAGGGTGTCTCCTAGTCGAGCATATTGTAATATTGAAAAACCTTATGTGATTAGTGTAAATAATTATACTTTTCATTATAAATAACATTTACTACTCATTAACCACATAACTTTAAATCTCTTTAATTTTTACACATTTCGCTCTAAATAATTTATTAAGCGGGGATTCAGAATATCGTTCTTATTTATTATTTCTACTAATTTTTTATTTATAAATCATTTTTATCTAATCTTCAGTCAAGTCCACTGTAAGAGCAATATCGGCGGTATATCGCAACTCTAACGAGTACGTTAACTCCACAGATGATGGACTGCGCTCTTCTTTTGTCTGTTTCACCTTACTGTCAATTATTTCTATATCACTTTCGCTATCGACGATAGTTAGATTTATGCAGCTGGAATTCTCTGATTCACTTTCGTCATCATAGCGCTCACAGCCGTCTGATTGTTCATCTTGGGAACTCACATCGATTGTAAGAATTGCTGGAGTTTCATCACCTGAAGATGCTCTAGATAGTTCATCCTGTTTGAGCGTTTCATCATCCGACATTAGCTCCTTAACAATGTCAGTTGACAACTCGAATGGAAGTGGCCTATTAGCGGGTGTTTGATATAGCGGTCGACTGTAAGCCATAGCCACTGCTAGAGCCATATTGTTAGAAGGGATATGGTCGGATGCAGGATTTGATAATTTCTCGGGTGATGGGACTGCTAGTTCACTGCTAGGACTTTTCCTATGATGTCTTCGTTTAGATTTCTTCTTGGTTTTCCTGTGTTTCTTTTTGTGACCTCTGCTGCGACAGCGGTATTCTCTAGACGAGCTTCTGCTACTGCGTCTTTGTTTGAGATTGTTACTGGACCGACTTTTACGTTCCCTAGTTCCATTGAGTTCTTCCCTGATGCATCGGTTATAAAAGACATTTTCTTTGCGCCTTTTGTGTCTGGAATCTAATTCCTGAAGTTTTTGTTGACAGTTTTCCCGCGTGCGCGCAGTTGTTCGTTTGTTATGTCGTATCACACTGTTTATTGTTCGTCCTAGAAACTTTTTGTTTGGTTTACCCAGCGGATTTATTTTGCGCTCTTGTGGCACATGACATACGTTGGAATCTTGACGTGGCAATCCCCACATAAGCTCTGCAATTGCTAGACTAAGACAAATTTGGAAAAATATTAAGTGATAGACAATAAAATTATTTTTACTTTGTAAGTGCTGAGTCGTCCATACTTCATATACTATTTCTTTATACACAACAGATTGGTTTTCCTAAATTTTACAATAACGTTATAACAGTCTATGGTCACCCAAATATTTTACATTTGCTCTAATGTTAATAGTAGTTCAATGTTAATATTCCCCGGTAAAGAGGTGAAATTATTGAAATTATTACATCATTTATTTTGAGTACTTTTCCTGACTGTCTGGGTTCGTGCTTATGCGTCCTGCTCAGGTTATGCTTTTTTTTTGAGGTAACAGCCCCGAAGCTGAAAGTGTGACGTCATAACAGAACTGTTAGCTTACATAAAAAAAGAGGCAGCTGTTGTTTGCTACCCGGTCTTAACAGTGCTGCTATTACTTTTCGGTAAAAAATAAACAAATACATATGTATGTATGTATTTATGTAGTTTAAAAAGCACAAGCGCAATCCTTACATTAATTTTAAAAATATTTTCTGAAATGTTAATTTTTATAAACATAAGAGAATTTATTTATTGTTAATTTTTGTAATGACATGATATGTCAATATCACAGTTTTATCACATTCAGTTTTCCATGTTTTATAGCTATTGCCGATTTCCCATTACATTTTTCATCCATTTCACATATTTGCTGACACGCGTATATATGCCTGGAAGGCCTGGACGGGCACAACCAATGCCCGTAGACACAACGCCTAGTAAATAATGCTCCTTCGACATCAGTGGGCCACCAGAGTCAGCCTAAGAAGTGTGCAACATAACATAACATTTTGTGATCCATTCTTAAATTGCATACTCACCCAACATGAGTCAATTTGACCATTCTCAAATCCTGCGCACATCTGAGTGTCGCTAATGCTGTTGGATTTTCCTTGCGCTCGATATGAATGCTCACAGACCTCATTGTTCCATATTTTAACTCTTGCCTTACGCAAGACATCGGCACGCTCGCCATCTGCCTGGTTCTCTTGTGTCCATCCCCAGCCGGATACCGTTCCGTATTCCGGCACCAAGCTACGATCCTCCTCCCCTGAACTAACACAGCTGGGCTGAATATGTGCCGAAAAGCCCATGGGTTGTACGAGCTCAAGCAGAGCTAATTTCGCAAATGTGAATTAATCTTCACTCCTTCTATTGACATAAATAAACGGATATTTACCGATATCATGTTGCACATTTTTGCAATCATATTGTGGATGTGGTACAATGCGCTTAAAGTCTACTCGGAATCCCTGGGACCCGTCACTGACAGCATTTAAATAATCCCGAATACTATGGACACCTACAACGCCTTGAATCTGCGTGGGTTTCATGAAGTTTTGCAGACCATTACAAATACAATGACCAGCGGTGAGTATCCAGCGCTCATGTATAATGGTGCCCCCACAAAAGTGGCCACCACGACGCATTAGACTAACCATAAACGGCATTTCGTTCCGTTCCGCTTCGCTTCCGCCGACGATCTTAGGATTGCGGACTGTGCAAGGTAGTCCTGTAACTATCAATAAGAAATAACAAAATATTATGATTGAGGAGGTTAGCACTATGCTAATATTTTCTAGTATTGTTGACATTATTGTTATTATTGTATTTACTTTGAGGTATTTGAAAACCTGTTCCGTTTCATTGCAGTATTAATTGATGCATAACAATATCAAAGAACAAAAAATGCACTTACAAGCGATTTGAGCCTGCGCATAATTTACAATTTGTATAAGTACAAGGAATTGCGCAAATTTCCACATATCGCCACTATTCAAAAACTGACCGTTACACATATGCTGGTGCAAACCTAGTCAGCGAACTGTCACAAATATTCTGTGCGCAAATAAATTTATATAGGTTGACAGGCCGACTGAGCCAGTGACTTACTTGCTGCTGTTCTATGCGGATTAGTGCTCATTTGACGAGTTTTTTGTTGTTGCTTTTATTTTTGATAACGAACGGAAGTTTCAACACCTGTTGTCGAGCTTCATGTTTGCTGAAACCGACGCAGCGCGAAGCGACGCTGACGTTGACTTCGACTGCAGCTCGGTGTCACACAGCATGTGCAGCACGTATTAGCACTTCATATGTCTTACTTGTCAATCTCTTTCTCCCTCTCTCTCTTTGTTCGTCCCTCCCTTTCGCTTGCACGCACAACATTTTGGGTGCTGCCGAATACAACGAAACACAAAACGTAAACAAAAGACAACATCGAATTTGTTTCTGAGTTCGTGTTGCCTTTGTTATGACCCAGTGAAGTTCATGACATTGAACAGTTCACAAATAGTTGAGGTAAAATGAGTAAGTGTATTTACTTCAGGCCTACTATACATATGTATGTAGATTAATATTTTATTAAAAGGGATATTTCCCATTATCTTCATTTAGTATGATATAATTATAGATCTGATCGATGAGGGGACTTGATCTACCCATGTTCGTCTGTCTGTCCGATCGTCATATTAAAATTCTTATTGCAAATTTGCTATATTAAGTCAGCTTCCATATGGGAGTACCACCTAAGAGGTGCATATTTTGTACTATACAATTTTTGTAATTTTCCACGTAATTAAGGAAGCTATGTTATAGGCTTTGATTGAACTTTCGAGGATGGCAAAAAATGAGCTCTGCCCGACGTAATATGCTCTTTTCAACTAATGAGCAAGTAAAACAAAAAATAATGTTAATAATGTTTCCACAAATAACAAGATATATATAATGTTAACTTCAATTGAAGCTAAGGGCGCAAAATGATATTTCCATGCTACCAGCATGGTGCTGGTAGCTACAAACGACAGTAAATAAGGCAATATCATTGTAAAACTGTAATGTAAATTATGACTTTGACATTAACATTGCCCTTAAGAAAACCAGCGTGTACAATGTCGACGAGGTATTCAGAAATGCAGGTAGCTTTCCTTGGGCATAAAATCAGGAATTGAATTGAAATTAAAAAATAAACGGTAATATTAATTACAAGAACACAACCCGTGAATAAATATTGGTTAGACAACTATGAAATATGTTATTTTTATCCAGAGAATTGGTTAAAATGAAATAGAGTTTAAGACGCAGAAATATTTCGCACATCCAAAACAATAATTCCAGGTTCAATGATCGGGGACACTATTTGTCGTTTTAGTTGTCTCGCTATATGCTAATTCATAAGAATCGGTCTGTTGACAGCCTAAGCAAAATAAATAAATAATACATGACAACCAGATAGAGACCTAGTAGTTCCCTAAAAAACTGGTTAGGTGCATTGACATCCATCGGCCGACAACATTTATATTTATTAACTTACCTCTTAGACGCATTCAATGTGAAGGTCGTTATTCGATTTTTTAAAAATTTATTTATTTTGTTTTTGTTTATTTGTTTTTAGTAAAAAGTTCAATGACTGAGTTTTTCGGTAACTTATTCCAAACAGGGAAGTGCTTAAAAGTATTTTTCTGATGCGGGTAGATTACGGAACATGATAATTAAATTGCAAATCAATTAAGAAATTCCTTCTGGATTAAGTTCATATATTCAGCTTGTTCGCAAGTTCAATATTAATATTGACTTCAACTTAGGAGCTAAAAATAGATTTTGTGGGGGAGTACACGAGTATATATTTAATTATTAAGACGAAATGGATAAACAGATAGACACTGCAATAAACTTATATGGTATTTTCACTTTGTAAGTAGATATACCAAAATAGTGCTTTATATTGTTTGAAGTATTTATATTGTTTTATTTTTTGACAATTATATATCAATTATGAGGTAGTTCTAGTTTTTATAAAACTATGACCGATTAAGACAAAAACTAGATACTAATCGCTCTTTGTCAATCAGTAGTTGTTTATTAAATATATGTATATTTCATGAAGATCGTATGTCCACAAAAAAAGTTATTAAACAATTAAGTTCTCATAGTAAGCGCACACTGCAGCCCATGCGTGTTTATGCGTGGGTGCTTGTTTTTCCTAGTTTTTCCTATCCTAGTTTTTCCTATCCTGTGTGCATAAAATGGCTACAAATGAAGCAAGACCATTTTTGTTCGCTTATTTCAGAAATAAATATAT